CCCCCCCCCTCCTCGGGGCATCTGGCTCAGAGACTTGAGTCTGGAAGGTCTGCGCAGTTTCTCTGGGCCCAGGGCTGACGGGCAGCCCACCCCGCGCACCTACTACTCCGCGTGTCGCCTCCCCCTGCCCCAGCCCGGGCACACGCACCCTTCTCGTCAGGGTCTGAGTCCGAGTCCACCAGGCTCTCCTCACTGCCCGAGTCCTCGTCTTCGTCCTCACGCCCCTCCTCCTCCTCACAGCCACTCTCGTCTCGCTCTTCCTCCTCCTGGGCACCAAGCACCATTAGGGGAGGCCCGCGGACCCTCCTCACTCAGGCTGGGCCTGGCCTCGGGGAGGGGAGTCCAGAAGCAGAGGGAGTCTGGACAATGCCCCAGGCGTGTCAAGACGGTGGGGAACGGGGCAGACCAGGCTCAGGGCCCCTTGTGCCCACCCCCAGTCCTGAAAGAGTACCACCCGACTCCCCCAGAAGCCTGAGCAGAGCCCCCCCGGGACAGCCTCCCCACCCGGCCTCACCCGTTTGGAATGAGGTGGGGGACTGAGGGATGGAGAATGCCAGGGCAACCAGTTAGCCATACAAGGAAGCTCCGGGATCAACTCAACTGGGGGCAGACCTAAGCCCCTCTCCCATCCTGCCAAGGTAGCCATGGGGACCCCTCTGCTCAGTAGGGATGCAGGAGTGAGCACGTAGAGGGGAGGGGACAGGGACGGTCCCTCACCTCCTCAGCTTCATTCTCGTCGGTCTCCTCACTGTTTTCCTGTTGGAGTTTTGCCCTCTTTTTGAAGGCCTCCTTCTCTGGACTGCCCAGGAGTGAAGGGTGGGCCAGGTTAGCTTTGAGCGTGTGGTAGGGGGTGGTAGGGGTAGGATAGGGCAGGAGGATGGGGCTGGGTTCCTGTTCTGCAGAGAATGTGGCTACTCTTCTCTACCCCCAATCTAGAATTAACCCTGCGTAATCTCCACCCTCCCTCTCCCCGGGGGAAGGTGCAGCATTAGAGAAAGGAGAGTGGCTTCTGCCCAAAAGCCTGAGCAAAAGTGCTCAGAGACTTCCCAAGCAGCCCTGGGGCAGCTCCCCGCTAAACACAGGCAGGTGGCAGGGCTCCTGCAGAGCCCGCCGGGACGTGGGGGCTCCCCACTCACCTCTTTCTCCGCTGCCTGACCTCCTTCTTCTTGAGCCGCTCCAGGTCCTGCTTGGCCCTGCGGATCACCTCAGAGGCATCCTCCATGGAGCTGGCCGGGCTGCCCCCAAAGGCGGGAGCCCCCGGAGATGCACCCAGTGAGTAGGGGCTCCGAGCTGAGGCCCGAGACAGGCTGCGGCGCAGGGACTCATTCATGGCCTCGCTCTCCAGGAGCTTCGTCCTGCGTGGGGAGAGTAAGTGGTCGGGGCCAGGTGAGCTGACATCGCCCCGGGCTCTGGCCCAGCCCAGGCCCTCTGCCTTTCCCAGATATGCTGGGGCCTACTCACCGCAGCTCCTCAATCTCCCGGATGTAGTTCTGGATCAGAGCACCAATGGCCTCATTGCCATCACCTGGAGGGGGAAGGGGGCAAGGAGAGGGCAATAAAGAAGACAAGGAAGGGTAAGGACTTGCGGCTCAAAGCTGGTGGTCTTGTACCTGTGCGTCCGGTAGGACAGCACACGCGGACCTTTCCCAAAAAGGAGTCCACATCAAAGAAAGATGCGTACGTGTACACAGATATACACAAGCACTGTTGGTAAAAGCACGAAATCGGAAACAACCGAGGGCCATCCGCAGGCACTGCTGCCGATGATCGGCACATATGGAACACTGTACAGCTTAAAAGAATGAAGTAGATTTATATGTTTAATAAAAGATCTCCAAAGCATAAGGCTAAGTGAAAATGGGAAGTCGCAGGACAACACATACGATCTCACATACAGAAAAAAGGCAGTATATATTCACACACACATGTGTGTGTACGTCCATATGAATACATAGCCACACTTGGAGCAAAGGTATGGGAAAATATGGGAAAATGTGCCCAGAGCTACCTCTAAGAAGTAGAGAAGACACGGAATGGAGACTTCAGTGAGAAGGGATTTTAACCTCTACTTTATGCATGCATGTTAAGCAAGGAAGACGTATTCATGTATTACTTGTGTCGTAAAAAAAGGTTTAAAATCAATTGGAGGGGCTCCTTGGTGGCTCAGTCGGTTAAACGTCCAACTTCGGCTCAGGTCATGATCTCACAGTTCGTGGGTTTGAGCCCCGCATTGGGATCTGTGCTGACAGCTCAGAGCCTGGAGCCTGCTCCGGAATCTATGTCTCCCTCTCTCTCTGCTCATGCTCTGTCTCTCTCTCAAAAATAAATAGACATTAAACAATTTTTTTAAAGTAATAGATAAAAAAATAAATAAAATCAATTGGAAAAAAAATGCTTAAATGCATCGATCTGTGTGTGGATTGGGTGGCTAGCCCAGCCTCCCTAATGTCCTAGGGTGGGTATGGGGAGAAGGAGCCCCAGCCTGTTGGTGTCCGAGCTGGCCTGGTGCACCCCAACTTACCGGCCTTGGCGAGGAGCAGATTGGCCTCCTGGCTCATGAGATGGGTGACGCGGTTGTTGATGGCATCGATGGCCTCCTGCATGGCCTTTACCCGCAGACGCAGCGCCCCATTCTCCTTCTGCAGCATGGCATTCTCCCGGAACAGGTCACTGTAGCCCTCGGCACCGTCCTCTCCGATCACCCTCTTGCCCTGGGAGGAGGGGCAGGCAGGGGGTGGTCAGGTGCCAGAGCACGTAGTGCGGGGAGGGGTTGATGATGCACATGGCAGTGCTGGTGGTCTCCCCCTGCCTCACGTTTTCTAAAACATAGCTCCTGTCTCCCAATACTCTCCTTGACAACCAGAAAGTCCAAATTCTATAGCCAGCCATTCCAAGCCTCCCCTATTCTTACCTTGACTTACCTTTCCAGCACCTACCTTCATACCACCATAAGTGCTAACCCAAGGGCCAAAACCTCAAAGGGCCCAGGCAGTTGGCATATATGAGTAAATTAGTCTGGGTACAAGACAACAGGGAGTGTGGGGACTGGAGCTAACAGAGTCACAGACTCAGTCTAAAAGGGGGCAGCAATATGCTACCCCAACCAACTTAGTGCTCTGTTATTAGATGTTCAACTTTTTCAGGAAAAACTGAAATTTCCTGATTTTCAGAAAGGCAGACAACAAAGCTGTATTCTTTTAAAACAAAGGGCAAGCCAAACCAAAACCCATTCGTGTACCAGGTGCAAGCCACAGGCTACTAGGCAGCCACTGATTTTGCCTCAGTCATGTGGAATTAGGCACTTCCCCAAGAAGCACCCATTTTTTCCATCTCTGTTCCTTTGCACATGGCTCGTTTGCATCCTAGAATGCCTGGTCCACTTGCTTTTGATGATATCTCATTCACTTTTCAAAATCCATATAAAAGGCCCCCGTCTCCATGCGGCCTTCCCTGACTGGCCACCTGAGCGAGTAGGGCCAGCTCTCTCCCCTGCCCTGCCCCCAGGCACACTGGACTACTCATGCGGTCCCTGTCAATTCTTCTTCTGTACCAAAGTCTAGGAGTCTCATCTGGTCCAACGTAGCCTATTCAGCGGACATGAAAACACCCAGCAGGGCGCCCATCCTGTGCTTAAGAGCTATGCAACAGAAGCTGAGTTCCCTCCTTTCTCTTAGTATGCTAAAACCCTGGGGGCTCTGACCGTGCTCACTTCACCCAGGGAAACCCCTATGCACAGAGCCGATACTCAGGACGTGGTGGGGACATGGTGGGGAGGTGGTGGCGGGGTGCGAGGGACGCTGAAGAACAAGGGCCCGCCACGCCCAGGAGTGTGCTCACCGCCTTGTACTCCATTAGCTCCATCTGCAGGCGCGCGATCTCGGCCCGCAGAGCGCTGATCTGCTGGCTCGTCTTGTCCTGGTTCACCACCACCTTGTTCTTGATGTTGCGGGCCCGATTGGCGTACTTGAGCGTGTTGAGCGTCTCCATGAAGTCCCGGTCTGAGGGGCTCACACAGGCAATCATGATGGTCTGGCTGGGAGGGTGCAGTAGGAGAGTGAGGTTCGAGGGGCACAGCCAGGCCCCCAGAAGCATCGCCTCAGGGCGCAGCTCCCAACCCATTCCCCTACTGCCCTAAGGCCCTGGGCATTCACCAGGGCAGAACCTGGGATGTGGGGCTCTGGACCACCTGGCCAAGGGCTTCCTTCCAACGGTGGTAACCCACAGTGAAGGCGGCTGGCAGGTTGTGATATATCACCGCCAGTCACAGCTCTGTGTCTGCCTAGTAGTTCCCATCCATTACCCCATTTGGGCTCTGTCACTTTGAGACTATCTCTCCCGGTTGCACAAAGAAGCTGAGTCTGACCATGCTGGCTAGAGGTCATACGGCATCTTGAGGCTCCTGTCTCCCAAGCCCGCAGCCTGCAGTGGGAAGGCCTCCTCATCCACAAGGTCCTCATGAATCAAACCCTCACATCGATATTCTCCAGGAGGTTCCTGCCTACCCTGCCCCTTCCCTGGATGTTGGCTGTAGGGTACCTGTTGCCTCCCAGCGAGTCCTGGAGGAGCCGGGTGAGCTTGGAGTCCCTGTAGGGCACGTGTACCACCTTCTTGCTCTGGTCCCCCAATGCGCTGATCACGTTGCCCAAGGCCAGCTGCGGGAGACAGACCCTGGCACTTGGGAGGCACTCAGGGAGAGAGGGAGTCGGGACAAGACAGCCCCGAGCCATCTGTACCTGCCTCGATGACCCAGCAGCCCTCAAGCTCCCTCAGAGGGTTTCTAGGCAGATGTGATCATTCAGTGAAATCAGGAACTGGGGCAAGAGTGAGGGTGAAGGACCAAGGGCCTCACAGTAGTGACATATGGGTGCTCTGGGCAGCAACCAACAAGAGGCCCAAGGAGGACGGGGCGGCCAGGGGCCATAGGGTCTGGAGAGGGGCTGAGACTGAGCTGTGCCAGCTGCTGGGGCTGGTGACCCGCCGCGTGTGCCTACCAGGCCGCAGTTGATGGAGATGCCCTCCTTGGCCCGCTCGCCAGTGGCCCCCGTCCGCTTCAGCCGCTCTGAGCCGGCCAGGTCCACAAAGTGAAACTTAGCAGTGAGCGTCTCATACTCACTTGTGGGAGCCGTGCCCTCAGGAAGCCCAGTCACAGCCTCATTCACCTGCAGCAGAAGTTGGCGTCTAAGTCACCTGGCCCTCGCCCCACCTTGCTGCTCCTCTGCTCTCAGCCCTTGTCCTTCAGTACTGCTGCCTGGGGTGCTGTGGGGCCGAGAGCCAGGGAGGCTGCAGGCACCTCTCCCCTTGCACAGGCAGAGCATCTGGCAATGTGCACAGTAATTGCACATGCCCGATTCTCATGCAATCCTCAAAACCATAGAGGCATTGTACAGGTGGGTAACTGAGGCTTAAGGAAAATGAAAAAGAAAAATCAACAAGTGGCAGAGGCAAACCCAGATTTGCTAGTTTCAGATCCACAGCTCCTTCCTCATTTTGCCCTTCTGAGAAGCCCCCATAATGCGCCAGCTCCTGGGCCTCTGCGGGCTCCTTACTGGGTCGGGCTGGCTGCACACTCGCATCTGGCACACGTGGATGGTGAAGATGGCGTGTGAGCGGGAGCTCTGCACGTTCATCTGGGTGCTGGCCGTGGTGCGGGACAGGGCCCCCTGCTTCAGGCACTGGATCAGCTGGGGAGGGAGGCATACGTGAGGACAGCAGACCAGCTATGCAGTCGGCCCCTGCCTGTCCCGGACCTTTAGTGAACACTCACCTCCTCCTGGGAGGTGATGAGGCGGGAAGTGACGCCCGTGGTGTAGATGCCACCGTTCCCGTCCTCGTGGATCTTGATGTTGGACCTGCGGTGGCGGGCGTCAGGGTCACGGGTGCTATCAAACAGGTCAAGGATCTCCTCGTTGTAGAGCTGGGCAGGGGCAGAAACAGCTGCTGGGTTCACGTGGCACATAGTGTGGAGCCCCAAGGGGCTTTCCCATGTTTGTAAATCAGCTCCATTTTGCAGATATAGAAACTGAGGCTCTGGGAGGTGAACCTGTCAACACTGGTTCCCTCTAGGTTCTAGATTCCATGATCTTTCTCCTGAACAGGTATGAGGGGGGCAGCTGGGTCCTGGGAAGAACTATATTAAGGTTTTGTTTCCACTGCCCAAGCAACCAGCATTCAGCAGCTTTCAGTCTTGGCAAGGGACTAATGACCTAAAGGGGACAAGGGGACTCAACGTCCTAGATGTAAATGAGGAAGATATGACCGAGATTTGGGCAGATCCTATTATGTTGTTACTAGGCTAGGAAAGGGGTAGGGACGTGGTTTCAGATGAGGGAGGGAAAGGCAGAGCTCAGTAGAGACTGATGGTCCCCGGGGGTTGAGATGACGACTACCTCCCAATGGGGAAGGAATGTGGGCATGGAGAGCATGCCCTTGGGGCCTGGCATCCTGGGGAGGGCCTGCAGAGACCACTGGGAGAGGTGACCTGGCCAGGAGCAGTCACCTTATTTTACATGCTCTCAATCCTGGAGATTCCTGTGCTTGAAATCCCTGCAGGGAAAGCTTCACCTGCTGAAGGGTTGGCATATTCTCCAGGAGGGGCGGGGCTGGGGGTGGGGGCTGGGGCTGGGGGATGGGAAAAGGGACAGGGCAGCTTGGTCAGCGGCCAACAGAATCCTGTGGGGGAGGGGCAGACGGCAGCCCTCTGACATCCGAGGCTTTGATGCCTTAAAGAAACAGAAATACTCCACAGGAAGGGGAAGGGGAAACGGAAGGGACTGGTGCAGAGGTGGGTGCCATGGTGTCTGTCTGTCTGTTGAGACAGGCGCACCATCATTTAACCCCTTGTGGTTCCTCCTTTGGCATGAGTTTTCTAGGAACTGCCCTACTCTTTGGGGATTCCCATGGCAATAGGATAGAGGAAAGAAGAAAATAAAGAGATGGAAAAGCTTATAGAGATACACAGCCGTAGGACACACACACACACACACACACACACACAGGCAGTCAATTTATCAGAAGCAAAAAGTCCAGAAGGACAAAGAAAAACTCTCACATCTAAAATACAGGGTCCTCTAAGGGGAAAGCAGTCGCTCTGAGTGCCCAGGAGGGAGAAGCAGTGGTGCGGTGGGCAGGGTGGGCCATGGAAGACCTACAGAGGGCTGGAGCCACATCCCTCCCTCAGAGGACAACCTGGGTACAGTCAGAGCCCAGGGCAGCTCCATACCCAGCAAATGCCCCAGTGCCAGGGGTTGGTGGGGATCTATGGGTTGGAGCTTCAGATGCTGAGAACTGAAGGCACCTGGTTCAAGTGTCCTAAAGGAGGTGCCTGGTCAAGTCAGCCACCTATGAGCGGTACCCAGGTCTACCTGCTTCCTTAGAGACCCTTCTGAGAGGCCCCTTAATAGGCCGAAGATCCCTCCCTCCATCCCCAAAACCCCCAGATGCCAAAATCCTGGCCCTGACACACTGACATTCTCCCAGAGAGAGGCAGGAACTATTGCAAAGAAAAGCTCCTTCTGTTGGACCTTCCTGGCCTGGGGTCAGACAAGACTCAGAGGGTCAGGAAGGACCTCGGGCAGAAAGGGATAGGGCAGGTGCTCTGAGACTGGGGAGCAACCTGGTAGAGCCGAGGAGTTCTCACTATGTGCCAGGCATATGCTTCCGTGTCATCCTTACAAAACTCGTAAGGAAATAGACATTATAGCCACCATTGTGCAGTGGTGACATGATGTGCCCCAGGTTACACAGCTAGTAAGTGTCAGAGCTGAGAATCCGTCAGGGTTTGAAGAGATCTTAAAGGTTCTCTTTGACTCAACCCCCTTCTTCTTTTTTTTGTGTTCATTTATTTTTGAGAGAGAGAGACAGAGAGCGAGAGAGAGAGGATAGGGGCAGAGAGAGGGGAGACACAGAAACCGAAGCAGACTCTAGGCTCTGAGCTGTCAGCACAGAGCCCAACGCAGGGCTCGAACCCACAAACCGTGACATCATGACCTGAGCTGAAGTCGGACGCTTAACTGACTGAGCCACCCAGATGCCCTGACTGAAGCCCCTTCTGACAGGAATCCACTTAAGAGTGTCCTACCAAGTGGTCTTCTAGATCTTGCTTGGATGTTTCCAGCAGCAGGATATTTATCAGCTATAGGTGCTGCCACGGCTTCCTAGGCTCATTCCACTGTCCTGGGGGTAAGCCCAGCTTTCATGGTCTTGCTGTCCCCCAAGTCTCCCTCCTGCCAACCCTACGAGGCCACAGTACCTCCAGGAACTGAGCGCTGACTTTGAACTCAGGCCCAGCCACACCCTGCTCCTGTGCCCGCCGTTTCCGCTCAGCAATGCCCCCAAAGAGGTGTGCGATGGCCCTCGGAATGATGCCTTGCTCCTCCTCCGATGTTGCCGTGTCGAAGCCAGTGCCCATAGTGTACGTCTTCCCGGCCCCTGTCTGCACCCGCAAAGATGGAAGGAGGTGTTAGACAGCACCCTCTGGGGGACATCAGCAAGCCCTGGACCCCAGGCCGGGCAGAATTCCTTACCATTCAACTCCCAGCCCGGGTCACCTGTTCCTCCTGGCCCCTCCCTCCTCCCTCAGCCACACCCTGTGGAAGTCTCCTCTGACAGCCTCCCTCCCATAGCTAGCCAGGCTGCAGCATCCTCAGACAACAGACAAAACCATGGCTCCACTGCCACTGCTCTGAGGGGGCAGGGCTCTCTCTTCCACCGGGTGGGGTGATGGGGGTCAGAGTGGCCCTTGGTGGGAGTGGAGGCGGCTTACCTGCCCATAGGCCAGCACTGTGGCATTGTAGCCCTCGAAACAGCCCTCGATGAGCTTGCTCACACAGGTCGAATAGATCTGTTCCTGCCAGGTGTCCAGGTCGAAGACAAAGTCATAGGTGAAGGCCTTGTCCTTCCCCAGAAGGACCTGGGGCTCCCCCGGGGTGACAGAAGTGCAGATGTGACAGCCCTCAATCTTCTCCTTTGACAGCTGGGGCCGAATCCTGCCGGGGGCGGGGAGAACCCCAGGTCGGACCCAGCCGGCAGGGGAGTGCTGTGGCCCCCTGCTCCCCCTCACCTGCCTGCCAAGCCTCCCCTTCCCCCAGACGCCCCCCACAGCTCCCACAAACTGGAGGAGAAGGAAGGAAGCTTAGGAGCCTCCCCAGAGGATGGAGGCAACTTTTGTAATAATACCACAATAGTAATAATATCAATATTATATCAAATATAATATCAATATCAATAAAAATATCACCCAAACATTTATTGAGCAGTTGCTAATACTTATTGAGCACTGTATATATTGGATATCTGTGTTAAAAGTATTTTACCTAAATGAGTTTATGTCTTCTTCACTATAAATCTGTGAGGTGTGTATCTGCCTGATTTTACAGATGTGAAAACTGAGGCCGAGGGACTTGAAGTGACTTGCCTAAGGTTGTCCAGTGGGATATGACAGAACCAAACCCACGTCCGACATTAAAGCACACACTCCTGATTGAGCGGAGAGCCCTAGAATTAGTGTCCCGCAGATCAGGAAGAGAAGACAGCTTGCCCCCTGCTGGGGAGGTAAGGCTCAGCACCTGGCTGGGGACCGGAGGGACAGGCCTGGCTGCTCCCCTCAGGACTGAATTAAAGAGCAAACCTGAGCCTCTGCCAAGGCCTGTAGGGGCTGCAACAGTCCCCCAGCTGCAGAGCCCCCTCTCAGATGCCAGAGCCTGGCGGAACATTCTTAGGCAGCAGCTCTGGTTCCTCTCCAGGAGCCAAGGGGGACAGGCCAAACACAGCCCTGACAGAGCAGGCCAAGTCAAAAGTCCGCTGAGAAGGGCAGAGACCTCTAGAAGGGATACTAGGCCTGCCACAGGCCTGGATCCCAATCCCAGATCCTGCTGGGATCCCTTATAATGAGGAAGAAAAGTGGCACCAGGGCTGGGTGGGAGCCAGCCACAGATAGGGCTATCTCCATCCGGCCACCTCTTCTCCCTCTTCCAAGCAGCCATTGCCATGGCAAGGTCCCCATGGCAACCAAGTGTGAGTCAGTGCGCATGCACTGTAGGGACTGGCAGAAAAGCACTTCCCAAATGCCTAATGTAAAAGGGGGGTGGGTTAGGCGCTGTCGCTCATGGGCTCACACAAGCCAGCCCTATCAGCCAGGCGCTTACAATGAGCTGCTTGTCAGGCTCCCTTTTCCAAAGCCAACATTTACCAAGAGAAGAAAAGAATGAGCGGGCCAGGCCAGCATGCATCCAGGGCCCAGGCAGGGGCGCCTAGCCACAGAGCCAGGGCCACCAAGTCGCCATCCTGTCCCTTCTAGGGCTGCCCCGGCCCCCAAGGCCCACTCAGAGCTGCAGGCCAGGGGAGACGCTCCCGTCAGCCTGTTGCCTGCACTTTGCTGCTAGAGGGTCAAAGGGCACTGGGAGGAGGCAGGGTAGCTCCCTGGGGGAGGGTTTGGGGAAGTTAGCTACACCAGGCCCAGTCCACACCACAGATGGTGGCCTGGGTTTTCTTCAGAAGTGTTTTCCCTTAGGCGTCAACAGGTTCTCATAGGCCAGCGGCTCTCCCCTCGCCGAGGCGAGGCTGCCGGCAATGGGAGGTTACCACCTTCGTCCCCCCTATCCAGCTGTTCCAGGTCAAGTCGAAATTAGAACTCAGCTTCCCAGTCTCCCCACTGAACTGTTTTCTGACTGAGAAGGGAGCAGCTGATACTCGCTCATCCTGTCTAGACGTGCAGACTAGCACTTGACCCACACCAGGAGGAGGACTGGGCCAGCGATTCTACCTCGACCACTAAGGGTGGCACTTGACACACGCATTCACACTCACTCTATGCCAGGGGGTGTCTAAGCATATGGACATTTACTACCTCTTGATCCTCAAGAGAACATCCGAGGTGAATACCGCCATCCCCATTTGTAGAGGAGGAAACGACATGATGCCCGGCTAGTCACAGACAGCGAGGAGCAGAGTGGGGGTTCGAACCATGGGTGTGCTCGGCCTCTTCAACACTTCCGTGCTGCGGTGTCAGTAAGGGCAGGGCTCAGCGGGCCGGGGTGGGGGAAGAGTGGCTCAGGTACACAGGGAGACAGATAGCACCTCCAGAGGAGGGGAGTGCCACTGCTCACAAGGCACCAGGTAGGTACCTGGGACTCTGGCCCTCGGACCTGGCTCTGCCCCTGGGCCCGTGGGACCCAGGGCCAAACACTTACTGCCCATGGCGTCCAGATGTTCCCAGGTGAGCCCAGGGGCTGGCCTGGGAAGGCTCCGAGGAGTTTCTAGCATTGCTGGCGAGCACTAACTCCGGAAGACACCCTCCCTATCATGTGGGCTGCTTGTGATAGGATTTCTGGATCCAATTCAAATACCATTTAATTACTCCAGGCAGATGGCACTGCTGATGATTGGAGGAAATCGAATCAGGATCCCTGGAGACAGTGAGAGCAGGGGAGGGGGAGCAGCAGCCCTGCCTGTCAGGGCCCATCAGTGTGGGGGGGAGGGGCAGTTTCTCCTTCAACGACCACTCCCCAGAACACTGGGGAGCCCACCTGCCAAGAACAAGAGAGCTAGCAGAAGAGTAGTCTGGGAAAGAGGATGTCGAAGAGGGGTTCCAGAATTTGGGGTCCAGGAATTGTGGAGTCAGTTAGGCATTCCCCTTGGGGTCTTTATCCTGGGATGTGAGGCCCAGCACATCTTGATGTGGGGGTCCTCTGAGGTCGACACCAGCCAGCCCCAGGGTGGCTCCCTGTAGGCACCAGGGTGCTTTGCAGGGTGCAGATGGTGAGCAATGTTACTCAGAGAAAAGGGTACAAGCTGGGGGACAGAGGACGTGGGCTCAGAAAGAGTCACTAACTCCCAAAGCAACTGACCCGGAAGAGGGAGACAGTGTTGGTCCTAGGAATGGGACTTGAATGGGTAGCTAGAGGTGGAAGCAAAAGAGAATTAAGATTTTATATATGCTAGCTGGGCCAGGCACCGGCCACAGACTAGCTCACTTGAGTGATGCAATGAGCTAAGGATTTCAATGCCCATTTTCCAGAGAGGAAAGTTGAGGCTTGCAGTGGTTAGGTCACACACAGAGTAAATACAGTGAAGTTGGGTACCAATTCCTGCTCTGCTTGACTATGAAGCCTGCAGTCTGTTCTGCTTCTCCAGCTACCTCCTGCCCGGGGAAACTCTCAATCCCCAAATCAATAGATAAGCTTCCTCCCACAGCACCACCATTAGAGACAGGGAGGCGCTCTGGAAGGAATCCTGCTACATCTGTCTGCTCATGCATGACCCTGGCCAGGCACCAGGCTGGCCCTGCCTTCAGGGCTTGCAATCCAGCAGGGGCAGACATTGTGTCTCAGCTGTCTGGGGGTTCACCCCTCACCACCCAGTGTAGCATTCAAACCTACATCCCACAGGTAGGAGACCAGAGGGCTGGGAGATAGAGTCCGAGGTCCTTGACAAGGCTCGGCCCCCACTCTCTTCTTATTCGTGAGCCCCTGCTTCCTCCTGTGTAACCTAGAAGATCTCTTCCCAGTTTTAACTTTCTAGGAACTCCATCACCTTCCCCTCCAGCAGCCTCCCCTCCTGGCCCCACCCTGGGTGAGGTCACTTCTATGGGCTGCCCTTAGCCAACTCCACCCTGCCCTGCCCGGAGGCTTTCTAGTTACTGCAGGGTGGAAGGGATAGGAGTCAGGCACAGCCCTGTTCCTCCTGGCGGGCATGGGAGGGGGGATCGGGGATGGAAACCAATTTCTAGGGTCTTCCAAGTAAACTATAGACTCCAGGAGCTGTGGACCAGATCCAGGACTAGGATGAGGTGAGTGAGGTATTCGCCACAAGTGCAAAAGTCAAGGGGGTATGAAAAAACTCAGTAATCAAGATAAACTATAATTTAATGCAATCTTTGAGAAACTCCAATCGGCAGACAATGGCCCGCGGGGCCAGCCCTGCGTTTGTGGACCACACATCCAATGTCATTTCTGTCCGGGGACCACTAGAAGCGCACCCAGGGAGCCCCTCACCCCAGGCCCTACCCCTACAAAGCCTCTCTCCATCGCTTCTCAAGGTCCGGGCAGGGAGGGAAGGGGGCGGGCCGGACAGCCCCGCGCAGAAAGGCTCCCGGAACCTCCCGGAACAGAGCCGGGTCTATTCGCCGCTTGGCAACCCGCAGACCGAGCGGCGGTGGGAGCGGGCGCGAGAGCGAAGAGAAAGGGCCCAGGGCTTTTCAGAGGCAGGATCTGGCACGGGCGCGTGGCCGCTGGGCTTCCTCTGCTCACAATTGAGCAGGGACTGGTGTGATGTGGGCGGGTATTTTAATATCCTTCCCCCACCGCCGGAGAGATGTGCACCGGCCGAGGGACGCGCAGGCGGCTCGGGGTCGGCCCCCCACCCGTCGGTGCCCACGGCGGCGGCGGCGGGACAAAGGCCGCGAACCCGAGCCCGGCGCTGCGGGAAGAGCTGAGGTCAGCGGTTCCTCAGCTCTTTGGGAAGCCAGGAGGACGGGGCGGAAGGGGAGGACAGAGGAGACGGGGGGGGAGGCAGAGCCTCAAGCAAGGTGGGGGCGGGGTTGAGGGGATGAGACTGCCAAGGAGAAAAGCTCCCTCGGCGAAGGGTAGCTTGCCCGGAGCCCCCACACCCTGCCCCGTGGCTTAGGAGGGGGAGGATGAGGCTAGCTCCCCTCGCCCCCCCCCCCCCTGCCCCTTCCTCAGTGACATCACACAGAGCCAGCCAATTACCCCCAGGGGCTCCGCCCAGTGACCTGGGGCTCCTAAGGGTTGGCTCCGCATCTCAGGTGAAATTAGTCCCACCCCATCAGCTGGCTAGGGCCCTTCCCTGGGCTCTTAACTTGAATTGCCCCCCAGTTAGGAGCTCAGTCCCCGGAGCTCTTAAGGGTGCTTTCTATTTGAAGAATCTCGTCACTGAGAGGTAACAGCCTGTGATATTAAAATAACTAATCAAGAACTAACTGTTCCAGAGTGCTAGAAAATTCTTGCAATTGTGGTGTATGGTCTGTGATTCCTGACGCCTTTCTTTGCTGGCACCTGGAACCCCTTTACATCGCCGCTTACTCAACTCCTCCAGTTAGTAACAACCACCATACTATGGGGCAAGACTGCCTCTTTGCTGGACACTGTACCCACAATGCTTTTGCACATTAGATCATTCTTCATTCTAATGCCCCTAATTTACAAAAGAGACTTCAGAGGAAATTAACTGGGCTCAAGGTCACATAGCTGATAAAGAACAAGCTCTTCTAGGAAGACTACCTTTACTAGCCATCAGCCCCAAAGATTCAGTCCAGGAGGAGAGCTGGAGAGTACTAGTATGTTAGCAGCTATGCTTGTGAGTAATTTGCACTCTGGGGACTTCCAGGCTGGGAGACACCCTCCCGCCAGGCTCTGCCTCAAACGCTTGGAGAAGAACCAGGGTCTTGGACTGGAATCACCCCTCAGATGGCCGACATAACCAGCGTAAGTAGTCCCTCTGGAAGAGACCCCAGGGGGAATAAGCCTATCTGCTTTTATCTTCTATAGGACCCTTAATGGCGTTCTGGAATCCTGAAAAGCAGCCCCCAGAGGCTAGTGGAACAGCCCGAGGAGAAATGCAGAATGAGGAAGTTCATCGCCTGGTCTCTAGGTGTGCTGCCCTCAAGCCTGAGATTGGGCAGATGCCACGACCTCCCTTCTGCCCAGCCCCAAGCGGTCTGCCTGGCTCCAACCACAGGGCAGCACGGGTAAACTGGAACTGAGCTGTTGTGTGCAAGTGTGGGTGGGGGGCAGGGAGCACAGAGAAGAGCACTGGGACTCCTAGTCTGCCTGGCACACCGAGTCACTTAGCCATGCTGTGACCTGCCGGGGACCAGCTCTTCTTCAGCAGTGACAGAGCCAGATCAAAGGGGACCTCAGCTACAGCAGGAGGGATTTAGATAAGCTAGCAAAAAGAACTTCCTGCCTGCAAAGATTGTTAAGCCCTGGAAAGGGGAGCCTGGGAGTCTGTGGAATCTTTTTGCTCCGAAATCATAGTCACTGGTATCACTGTGGCTTCTTCCGTGCCGTGTCTGATAAGGACAAACAAACCCTAACATTTTTTGAGAACCTATGTGTCAAGCTCATTTACATACATGAACACACGTAATGTGTTAGGACCACCCTGTGAAGCAAGGGCCATTCCCCCCCCCCCCATTTTACTGAGGCTCAGAAGGTGAAATTTCACAAGCCCAAAGTCACACAATTCATAATGGTGGAAATGAAATTCAAACCAAAGCTGACTCTGCCCAATCCCACTGCATCTACTGAGCAACCCGGCACCAGGGCAGGAGAGAGGTCGGACTGGAGAAAAATGATCCCCTCCGAGAATCTCCGGACTGATCCTACCAACAGCTGCCAGCAGCACCACGAGCAGTCTGTTGGGAAAGCATTTTTCCCCGTTTTGTAGTTAAGAAAGCCGAAGCCTAGAGCATGGAGAAGCACGGAGACAAGAGCCCAGGAGGCTGCTTCCCTGCCAGAGGAAGGCAGCTCCCCTCTGCAGCAGAAACAGGGCGTCTACACCCCCACTCTAATGAGCATCCTCTCCCCCCTCCTCCCCGTGGCAGCCTGCCAGCTCTGGGGAAGGCGGCTGGAAGCAAAATCCTGCTCTCTCAGGGGAGTCTGGCTCCCAGACACCCGGGGGCTTTTAGCTGACTTAGCCCGGAGAAGGCGTCTTCCCCTAGAGGCCACTCCTCTCCAAAATAGGGTGGTGAGACCCAATTTAGGGTGCTGGCTCTTGTAGCTGCCCGGATACCGAGTGGGGGGCCACCAGAGCCCTGCGACTGCCAGAGGGTCTCGTCGCCCTGTCACTGGACCTTCTCCTGGCCTCTCAGACCCTCCCCCAGCACTGCCTGAGACTGCCCTCAGGGAGAAGACAGGGAACCCCTAAAC